CCCCAGATGTATTAGAATGCAAGTCACATGCTGGCTGGTGGATGTTGGGGCCACACATCTGGTGGACCCAGACCAGGGAAGACTGCACAAAAGTATTGAACCATGAGATTCCAGTCTCTCTCTCTCTCTCTCTCTCTCTCTCTCTCTCTCTCTCTCTCTCTCTCTGTGTGTGTGTGTGTGTGTGTGTGTGTGTGTGTGTGTGTAGAGGGGGTATTTTTCCAGTTGCATTATCTGTCTTTCCCCCAATATCTTTCAGCTACTGCTTCCCTGCATTATATACAACCCACAGTTCTTATTAATAGGTAGCAGAATTTGTGTGTATTGATGTATGCAAGATTATCTGAGTTGTACTCTGAGTGTTTTTAGAACCCTGGATGCATCTGTGCAGGAAAAACAAGGCCCATTTTGAGTCTGTCATCCTGATGGTGCCATGATAAGTTAAGTAAACATAAATAATGCTCAGTTTCTGTCCTTTTTCTTAAAAAAAAACTGCACTAGCTTGTCAAATTGGATGTTTTGCTCTAACTTATTAAAAATATGGAATGAGTAGGAAGTTGGGCATGCCCACCTTCCTCATTTTTCTGTGTTTTGTTTCCCTCTCTCATTATCTCCAAACCTTTTTGCCTCTGAAGGTTGGGCTTTCTTGTAATCTACCCACACAGAAGCTCTATGGAACACAGTGGGGCTTGCTTCCAGGTAAACATGCATAGGAGCAGATTAGATGTCTGTTTATCTGTGAAGGTGGTGGGGTGGGATGAGGTACACCCGGGATAAGACACACTCTTGTCTACAGGAGAGGCCCCTAAGTCCAGAGTCTACAATTGCCCAACTGCTCTACCATGTGTGGGCAAAGTTCTTGTATAACTAACAACGTGAACCTTCAACTTAGCATGTTCTTCCGAGCACATCCTCATTCAAGGCATTCCAGAACTGCTCTGCCCTGTAATGGAACAGAACAGCACCACTGTCGAAGACATCTCTGTCAATGTGTTTTCCGTGGGTCCTTGCCAGCCGAATGGCTCTGAACTCCCAGTGTCTGAGGATGACAAAGCTGGGGCCACATTACTTTTCTCCGGCATCTTTCTGGGGATAGTTGGAATTACCTTCACAGTGATGGGATGGGTGAAATATGAAGGTGTCATTCGCTTCGTGTGGACTCAGTTGCTTGGACCTATACTGCTTTCAGTAGGTGTGACTTTTTTGCTGATTGCGGTGTGCAAATTTAAAATGGTGGCATGCAAACCCTGCAACCAAAGTGAAGAAAGAGTATCTGACATGGACCGGATGCCTAGTGGACACTCCTTCATTTTCACTGGAATTAGCCAGCCTATAACTTTCCATGGGGCTAGAGTGGTGCAGTACATTCCTTCTTCTCTGACCCAGGAAGCTGTGGGTGTGGATTCGGTGAATGAGAGGCAAGTGCTCAGTTGTTCCAGACTGAGGCCATTCTCTGGATCAGTAATTCCTGCTCCTAGCCCTCCTCATTATAACAATGTCAACCCACAGAACACCTCTGTATTTTCGGTAGGTGGGAACCATTCAGCTTATCTTACAGTAGACTCCAGAAGTGAAAGGTAAGTTAATACGTGTGTGCGCGGCATTACAAGGGGAAGGCATAGCCCAGCACAAACAGAATTGCAATTACTGGCTTCTAATAAGACTGTTGCCTGAAGCATCGGCCATAACTGATTCACAGATAATGCTGTTCCAGTTAATTAATGAACTGGCATTCATTAACATAGTCAGTCTACTGTGTGCTTGTTTTTCTCAGCTAAGTACAAACCTCTCTATTAATTTTTTCTTCTCTGTTATCTCTGACCCAGAGTTTATTTTCCTGTTGTCAGAGCAGCCTTAGGAATGGATGGGCAGAGCTGCAATTCTAATTTTATAGCCTGAACTTTACTGGTTTTAGATCCTGAACCCTATTTTTCATGCTGGGAAAATGTAAGGTAACACAAAGAAGGATACCTCTGAGCATGTTTAGAATACATTTTCTTTAACACCAAGCAAACATCGTGCTGCCCACCCCAACACAAACACACAGAGAGAGAGAGAGAGAGAGAGGGGGGGGGGAACAGGAGTCTGGAGCTTTATGATCCAAGAGTATATTTCTGTGTGGGATGAGGCTCACCCCTACCCACCCCGATCTCTTCTGAGAACTCAGCATTAACCACCATTCAGGATGCAGTGAGGTCTGCTTGTGACGGAAGGCATCTGCCATAAGATCGTGGGTAGAGAACCTGAGGTCTGGAGGACAGTCCAGCCCCCTGACATCCTAGTCCAGCCCTCAGAGATTTCCCTGATGACCCCACCCTTTCACGGAACCACTGATGATTCCACAATGTTCTATTTTTGAGCTGCTTATTTTCCCCGTTCTATATAAATGGTTGAAATGCCTCTCCTAAAGCTTGGCTAACAGCAGGAAGATCTGCAGGCCAGTTTGCCTGCACCTTTGGTATTTTGGCCCTACATTTTTTGACTTGGGCCTTTGGCGGTGCCCACCATCGGAAGGTGGCCACTGAGAGCATCTCCTAAATAGGAACTGGCCCTGAGGTTGAAAGAGCTTCCACGCTGCTGCTTTTAACAGACTCCTTTCTTGAAGATGACTGCCTAGGAAGGTCCATACTAGAGCCACTAAACCCCACAGGTCATTGCATGCGATAAGATTTTGGTATAATAAATGCACAATGGTTCCCTGGTGGCTGTTTTTATGAAATTGGGAAGATAGACTTTAATAAAGAGCAAGGTTGTTTTTTTAGAAGAAATAGGTTAAAAATAAGGTAAGAACTAGATCATTAAGGTGATTGTTCTTTCCTTGTCATCTTTATCACATTATACTAGTCATATATTATTGGGAGCAGCAGTACATGTAGGTATACGACAGTGATGCACGGCAATGAACAGAAAAACCAAGGCTGCATAATTGTGCCCTGTGCCATACTACCTCTCGCTCTATACCGATCACATGCAAACATGTTTCTCCCTCGTTCCCACCATTTTTAAGATGGTCACATATTACCATCTGAAACCTGGGGAGTTGAGAAGTGTTGCTTCGAGACCTCTGAAAAAGATTCCTTTAAGCCACGCCTGCTCTTTCTCTGACTTAATCATCCATAGGGCTGGGGGCCTGTGATACCACTGAGTGAGAGGTGACCCGTTATGACAGAGGGCTGGTTGTGCTTATGGACTTCACTGTAATCCTTGTGCTGATGGGCCATTCTGCATCAGCACTGGCATCCTTAACCCCACGAAGCCAGGCGTGTTGTCCCATATCTGCATTCTTCAGATGATGCAAGAAAATGGACCCAGAGGGACAATGCCATCCTGCAACTGATACTCTTAAGCTGAAGTATCTCCTCATATTCTAGCAAGAGCCTGAGGTCTGTATCTGGCACATTATGAAGTGCTCCCAGCTTTACTAAAGATTGTACAATGGCAAAAGGCTTCACAATGAGCAACAGACCAGCATCAACTTCAAAGCGTTCATTCAGGAATTCAGCAGGAGAGTCAACTGCTTCATTACAGGCAGTGCCAACACTGCTCCTTCCAGATATATACTGGTGCTGTCCTTCTTGTTATTTGTTACCAGTTGAGTCCCTCTGACCATCACTGATCCATCTGGCTGTGTAACAGTTTCATCCTTGGAGGCCTTGACCTCTCCACCAGTGAAGAAATACTATTCTTCCAGAGCCAGTAGCTTTAATTTTGCAAACCTTGTCAGCTTCTCTACATCAAGGATGGTGACTCCATCTCCTTGTAGCGGCTTCTGATACCTATTGAAAATGGTAAGGACCAAATGAACACCTATCTTCATCCCAAAGGAATGCAAGAAACATATATGCTGCCTTCTCCTCAGACCTCTTCATGCAGAGGACTAGGAAGTCCCAAGACACCAAAACTGAATGCAGTAGTGAGAAGGCAAACTCTGTCCACCTGGCCTCACAAAGCTTGGGGATTGCAAGGAGACAGCAGCTGTTGACTTCTTTACGGCCTCTGGGCATCACATGGAAGGGTTCTGCACATGCATGGAGCCTCATTTCAGGCAGCTTCTGTAGCTGAGGAATTTTTAGCAGGAACTCCAGCCCATCATCCACTGAACATGTCCCTGGCAGGCTCCCACCTGTTTCCTCAGTTTCTCTTTGGCTGCCATCGTGGTTGTCTTGAGAGGAGCTTGCATTTAGGCAAGAGCTGTATTGCTGAGGACTCCCTTTATTCTTACTTCTTTGTGCTCTTCTGTTCTTTTTTCTAAGCTAAGTTGCTACGTTCTTGCTGTTGTACATTCTTGCTGTTGTCGTTCCATTTGCGATCCTGCTGTTGTCCAAGCACCTTCAGGCATGCATGGCCCTGAAGGCACCTCTCCATAGTGTGCGAGGGAGGGCAGCAAGCTCCCACCAACAAGTGGGCAATCCCCCTGCCTGTTTTGTTTGTAAAATGGCCACACTGTAGATTTTTGCCCACACTGCCGAGCTTTTACCAAGTGCGCCAGCAGGAGTCAATCGGACGGACTCCAAGCAGGCTGAGGGGACTTGCTGCACTGCTGCATTCTTCTGCACGGAAGCTGGTGCCAGAAAAACCTGCTGCACTATCAAGGCTGACCTGCTCCCAGTCCAGCTGCAACCATGGGCCAAATTCCTCTGACTCAAGGTATTGATGATCTTTGTGGCTAAAAGCTCTCCGAAAAAGGCGAAGACTGCAGGAACAGTTCCTCAGGGAAAGGGAAAGGAGTCAAGAAGTCTACATATTGATAAACCATCAGTCAATGTCATCTCTAGCACTTACTCTTGGACTCATCTATCCTGAAGGTAGCTTTGGTACTGATGCTGGACTTGATACCGGGACTGATACCTAGTTGGAGTTGATGCCCTAGGGCTGCACTAGCTTCTACTGCACTTGGGAAAAAATATTCAAAGCAAACCCTGCCATGCCTGCTTTGTTTTCTTCCTGCATTTCTGGTGGACATCATTTGTAAAATGTCTCTTTCTCTCTCTTTCTATTTTCAGGTCAGCTGAAAGTCTTGAAGAACCTGAAGAGATGCTGGATGAAGAACTCGGCAATAACTTCTCACCTCCACCTTATGAGAAATTATTTCCACCATCATCATAAATATTACAAAGACATCCCTGACCCCTCCTTAAGGATTGGCCTGCTTCTATATGACGCCTTCATCTCTGAACTGATTACTCTGAACCAGAGATATGAGGCTGAGAACTGCATCAAGGCACCTCTTGAGACCTTGGCTTTCTGAAAATGGGTCCTGCTCATTCGCTGGGCACCTGGACCAACTGCAGGTGCGCAACATTTTGTGTTCAACATCATCATTTAAAACAATCTGGCTTTCCACTCTGCCTTTCTGGGCTGAAGCTTTTCTTTTTTACCCAGCTATAGGAGTAGCTATACAGTATATGAGTAGCTATTCAGTTTCACACTATGCAGCCTGCTTGCTTACTTCCCTGCCTCTCATTTTGGTCCAGGAACCACAGGGGGCGAGGAGCAGCAGCAGAAGCTGCCCCTGGCTACTTGCTCGTGGGCTCTCCACCTGCCAAGCGAACAAGTGGTAGCAATGCTGAGAAAAAGCTGCAGGGACAGTAGCAGTTGCTGACAATGGTCGGGAATAGGCTGGCACACCAAAGGAAGAATCCACTGCAGATGCCTTGACCAAGAGCCCTCCGCAGCATAGGCTGACTTGGGTCCCCTGCGACTTTCCACAACCACACTGGCGGCAGCAGTGCAGTGGCAGCTGCGTGGCCCACTCCACATGGCGCTGCCTGGCTCCTGCAAGGGCCACGTGATCTCCAAGTGGCCCCGGTGGAGCCATGAGCTCCCCACCGGCTCTGCGTCCTCTTGCAGGCCATGGGGGCAAGTCACTCTGGTGTCCCTGAAGGGCTTAGTGTGGATTTATAGATCAGTTGTTAGATGATCAAGATGTGAAAAGGTGAGTTTTTTGTTTTCACTTCCAAGGCTGGCATTGCAGGTCTGCTCCTCGAAGCTTATGTTATTCCTGATCATTTCAAAATTCGAACAGAAGCAGAAATTTTTCTGTTCAAAATCTTTTTCTGTTCAAAAGGGTTTTCTTAATAGCAGATCATGTATCCAAGCAGTATGAAAAAAAGAACGACAAAAAGATGAAGATTTCATGTAATTGCATGAATGGGAAATATGAATTCATATTTTTAAAATGATGTGCGTAAGTTTTCCGCTGTCACACACAATCAGCCCAACCGTTCTGTTGTTTGATCAAGCACCTGTAATGTATGGGCTCCCTTAGAAGAATTGTGAGGAAGTTATTACAGTTCAGCAGATCGTGTGGTGAAATTTCCCAGTTTCCAACAGCCAGGAGAGGTTCTTGGAGCCATGTTGAGGCCTTAAGGCCTTCAGCTTGTTAGAACACCAGAGAGAATAGCCTTGAAGCGTCTTTCTCTGATCATCTGCCTTTGTGATGAGAATGAAGCTGTTTGCCCTACTGAAACAGTTTTATTTCCGGAAAGTGCTGTGTGTGTGTAGCACTTGCGAGCATTCGGCAGACTCTGCAATAGCAGGGGAGAATAATTCAGTAAAATCCTGAGATGCTGCAAACCCTTTCAGCTTGGGGAGAGGAATTGGCACGTTGATCACCCAAGCAGATTTAGAGGCCCACGGCACGTGCCCTGGCTTATTCAGGGAACCAACATGGCCACAGAACAGGCGAGTTGTGAGCTTTTCAGCCCCTCCTTTATATCCTGCATCCGTATTTCATTGTTCGTTCAATAAACTGTGTATCATCTTTGACACAGGGGTTTTTTTTAATGAATCTTCAAATCTAGGAGGAGGACCAGGCCCTGAGGTGAAAACACATAGCACAACATTTAGAAATGATTATACTCTATATTCTTCTACTCACTGCACATGTCATGCAAGATGAGCTATAAAAATGACTTTACATTTGTACACAAATGACCAAATCACGCCATGTCGTATAACCTACTTTGGCTGAGGGGTTAGGTGGCTTTTACCAGGCTTGCTAAAGGCCTTCTTTTCCTCTCCTGTCACAGAAGCTGAGTGACGGTGCAGAAGCATGAATAATAAACTACATGCCACAATAAATGTGTGGCACACAGATGACCTAAACTTCCTTTTTCACCTTCTGTATGGGCACTGGGATCAGGATGCACAGACAGGGGAGGCATCATTCGACCTCCTGTCCAGGGCAGCCCTTCCACCCAGCCTTATGTCTGCCCTAATGCCTCCTGTGCAGGGTCTAAAAAGAGGGGAACATTCTCAGTCAGTCTCAATGAAGGGTTCCCTCCCTTCCCATTACACTGTAGCCCCCAAACAGGGGCACAAAGTTAGAGGAGACACACATGTGGGTGGTAACAATCAGATTGAGATGCTGCACGCTGACTGAATGGAAAGCTTGGGTCACCTGCATACCATGAATCTGATGCCACATGTTGGATACCTTCAGTGGTGATTTGGCGCCTGCAGGCAACCCCTTCTGGAGTTGGTCTGGAGCAACTCTGCCTATTGGTACTGGCTACCATCACCTGGAGTGGAAGAAACCCATCTCCTCAGTTCCCAAACATTTGGGTTCCTCAGACCAACTGGCCAAGGAGTCCTCTGGTTGGGCACCTTTTCCTTAGGGGAGCACATTCAGATTGCAGACTGCAAACAGCACGCTGCACCTTGTGTGTCCTCAGGCTGTCGAAAGAGTGTGCTGTGACCCACGCCATGGCGTGGCTCTTGTGAGCCTCCCCACTTTCGCTCCCCAAGCACACACTCCGGGTTCCGGTGAAAACAGGGCAAAGGGTTATTAAGGGTTCAGGAAAAGGTACAGAATGGGGAAAAGGCTGGTCATATTCTGTGCACAAAACAGTAAGCAATGGAAAATAGCAATCAGTGCAAAGAGCAAGGAAAAGGGAAAAATACTGTCTGGCTACCACAGTCCTGTGCTAAGCTGCCTACCTGCTTCTTACAAGTCCTGCTCTGTTCCTGGCAATGTTTTTCTGGGGCCTATATCAGCTCTTCCCCATTTTGGTTGAGGAAAAACAACTTCTGATGGCACCTGGGCCATTCGCTTCTCTCCTGGGCCTGCTTCACTCACTTCCAGGCAACTTGCTCCTGGCACCTGTGCTGAAAAAGGAAGGCCAGCCCCCTCATACACACGTCCTTTCTCAGTCTTCTATCTATCCTCTGGGTGGAGAATTTAGAAAAGTTGTTTTGCTTTGCTTTGCCTGCTGTCAGGTAGTGGTTCATCCCCAGCTCTGAGATGGATGCTAGTAGACTTTTATTATTCAGATGCCTGAATAATTTACTATTGAATCGAATGACTAAGTGGTGGCACTTGGACTACAGATAACCTCAGCTGGGTCATCTTCCATGGAAAAGGGAGGTTTCTGTCCCTTGGACCTGCATAAGATGGAATCAGTAAGGTCTGGCTCAGTGGGCTATTTCAAGCCAAACGTAACACCTTCACTAATCCAAGTGCAAGACCAGCTGTGAGACTGAAGTGCCACCAATTACACAGGGTTTCACTGCTAGCTTTGTTCCTACATTGCATTAAACTCAACACTGATAGGTGGTTCTAAATTTGGAGTAGGAAAAGGAAGAAAAGAAATATTGGGATGTGATGGTGAAGTTACTGGACTCAGGTATTGTAACGTAGACCTGTTTGTGTTGTGATGTGCCACGACCCTCTCACTTATGGGGGCCTTCTGAATGAACCCCCTCCAAGATGTCCTGCACTGGACAGCCCTGCTCAGACAGAAGGTAGGTTAGACAGAGCATCTGTGACGGCCCAAAGTCACTCAGGGAGCTCCATGGGCAAGTGTGGACCAGAACCCAGGTGCCCTCCATCCCAGTCCAGCACTCTTGCCACTACACCACACTGGTTGCCGGGACCAGCTTTGTCTCTCAGTGTGAATGGGAAAGACCAATTTTGCAGTATGCAATCATTTTGAGATGAAATACAGGAGGCATTCAGTGGTGTTAATCTGCTATCCTAAACACACATTCCAAAGATTAAGCACCATTAAACTCAGTAGGACTTGCCCCCGAGTAAATTCATTTAGGATCGTGTTGCTAAATGGGTGAGACCAGCCTCCCCTACCCTGTGCCTTCCAGATGTTTTGGACTTGAGTTCCCATCAGTCCCAGTCAGCATGGTCAAATGCCTGGAATTCTGGGAACTGTGGTCCAAAATATCTGGAGGGCGCCAGGTGGGGCTGGCTGAGTTAGATCGCGCCTGGTTCGAACAGTTTTCAGCTCGAAGCCGGGCAAGCAGCCTCTCCCTGCCCCGAGCGATCGGCGAAGCCTGGGCAACGGCAGGGGTTGGCTGTGCCACCCTTCCTGCCGCTGGACGAGCCGAGTGTGTCAGAGCAGGCGATGCCCTTTCAGGTATGCTGCGCATATTTCTCCTATTTCAGACCAGCAGGTATCCTGTTCTGCGCCTCTTCCTTCTGCTTCCCTCGGGAAAGCGGCAGCTATCTCGTGTCCCGTCACTGCAGTCCAGCGCATTACTACCAATGGACACCAGGGGGCAGGAGAGAAGGATGCACGTCCAACTCTCCGCTGTTGCAGGTGGGGAGTTGCCTGGAGCCTCGCGGTCACTCTCGGGGTGAGTTTGGATGCCTTGGTTTTCTTCTGCTGAGCCTCGTTCATGGTCTTGCTAATAACTGCAGGCAGGCGCCTGACCAAGCTGCTCCTAAACCTTCCCCTCCAGCTTTGGAATGGGAGCGGTACACAATTTCTCCCTTTACACACATCTAAAAAACTTGCCATTCCGTTCACCTTACAGCTTGTCTCTCTCCCATCACACGCACGCCAGCTCTGTCTTTCTCCCAACCACATCAGACAGATCAGGACAGCTCCAGCACCTATTTGAGTTGCTGTAATGTACAGATTAAACGATGGCCTTTGCTAGCACAGGGTGCCATGAGGGCCACTAGCCCAGACCTCTTTCAGGGAGGGGTATCAGCAGCTGCCTAGGAAATGTGAGGACCATTCCTCATCTCCAGGACAGAGGCAGAATGCCTCTGAGTGCCAGTTCCCGGGCAGTGGCAGACGGGGGGGGGGGCACTGATATTGGGTGAGCTTCTCACATACATCTGCCATCCTACTGGGGAACAGAATGCTGACCTAGACAAGGTTTGATCCAGAATAGCTATTCTACTGTCCATGGAACTGGGAGAAGTGACTCCCCACTCCCAATCTGTCCTAGAGGGCAGGGGACACCCGTCAAGGAGGTTTTCAAGCGGTGTGGTGGGCACTGGGGAGAAGAGAGAAGGACAAAGTCCCATGGCGCTAGTAAGCATCCACTTGCGCAAGGTTGCCTCTGGCCCTCTGCTTTTAAGTCCACATGGAGGGAGGCCAGACTTAATTGTGTCAAGGCACACCATTCCTTGCACAAGTTTTTAGCAACAGGGCTCAGGAAGAAGATATTAAAGAAGAATGGATTAAAGTATTCCAGAGCAGATGCAAAGTACATTCTGTTTACCACTGAGTAATAGCACTCATCAGAAAGAAGGGGACGACAGAGGTTGAGGCGGCTGGATGGGGTCACTGGAGAGGTGGGTATGGGCTTGGGTGTACTCCAGGGGATGGTAGAGGACAGGAGAACCTGGAGGAATGTTGTCCATGGGGTCGTGAAAAGTCAGGCGTGACTTTGCAACTGAAGAATGACATTCATCATAAAGGCCAGAAGATTTAATTTCCCAGACTTGGGCAATTAAAAACTGTATGGAGTGAATACCTCTTTCATTGCTTCCTACTTCACTGCTCATGTACCAGAGATTCTTTAAGCCCCCAGTAAAGCCAGCAGCCACTCAATTTCCTCCCCCCGTGTGGTCCTTGCTCCTGCTTGTACTGAGACATCACACCTATGTATTGCTTAGTCACAGTGAAACCCAAAAACGTCCTGCCAGAAACAGCAGTTTCACCACCTTCATAGCAGCAGGAAACATCCAGCAGCTTGATGGGGAAACCTTCCTGCTGGCCTCTGTATCCCTTTGACTGGCATCACAAGGTCATGCTCAGCTCTCCGTAGTGGCTGCCACCCACACTGCCCCATAGCTTTTTGCAGGGCAGTCCTACTCACTTTTGCAAAGCAGCCCTGTGAAGAGACACAAGACCACTGCAGACCTGGTCCTCATTCATTTCACCTTCCCATGCATTTAAACCCAGTAATCTGCAAACCACCACTGATGTGTTAGAGATTTACAGCTACGATAATTTATTTCATGGTAGATCACAAATCCTTCTTTTCCTTCTCTTTCCTTTTCTCTCCCTGCCCTCCCTATCATTCCATCCTTTGAAACAATATTTGGCAGCCCACTGCCTGTGGAAAGGAGGCTGTTTCACATTAGTCAGTAGTACATTGAATCATTCCTGCAAAATGATTTATTATGGACTGCAAATTCTTATATGGCAGCTTAAGTTAATGATTAGACAAGTAATAGATCACCGGCATGATTGGTCACATATGGCGTGTACTTGTTTCTAATGCTCTGTAGTTGAGAGATTACAACGAAAATCTTGTCCTTCTTGCAGAGTAGCAGGTTTTGCTATTTGCGCTCATGATGGTGGCACAGCGGGAGGTGCTGCCCCCCCCCACTTCACACGCCCGTTCACCTCCAGTTGATCAGTCCACAAGGCTAAGTGCCTGCACACCACCGCGTAGGGCCCAAGAACAGAGAGTGAGTGCGGAGGGTTGTGAGAAGATCCTGAGCGGCGGCCAGCTAGTTTTATAATCTTCCTTTTGATTGCTGCTTGCTAAGAACTGTGGAGTTCTTGGTG